AAATATTGCAGATACAGTCCAAAACAAACTGAAAGTGCACTCCAGGCAGTAATATTAAGTCTCACAAAATCATCTGATTTCTTGCAGTGATTTCTTCTATCCCTTTCTATCGCGTCTCAGTGTCTGCTCCGGCCCTACAGTTTGGGAGACATTATCGTACGATGCTCAACCACTTTGTTATCAAAAGATCGTTTATTTGTTTGTACGGCTTGGCGCCGTATGAAGAGAGTAGCTTACAAAATTTACAGAAGAGGGCCAGTCAACCTGAAAACTTTGATAACAATGGCGAAAGAAGTCAAGAAATGCCTAGGCAGCTTTTTTATACATATGTATAAAACGTTTTTGCGGTTTTTATTTTTTACCAGGTAAAACAGACAGTCCATTTTTTTCATACTTATGTAGCTCTCCCTCTACTACCTCTCTCCTAGTCTTTCTTAGTGCGTGGAGCGCAGTGGCTCTCTAATGGGTTGTGAGTGAATCAGACGATGTGATCGCGTGATTTTCTAGACGCCCAGTGGCCGTCAAACTGTTAGCGATTGCTGGAATATTAGAAATATTTTATTTCGATACTCGTCGGTAAACTTCCCACTTTTACCTGTTCTGTATCTTTAAAGCCAATTTCCCGTGCTTTACCTATTCCACTCCACCTTTTGCCCAGACGCCGACTGACACAAAAACTAAAGGAAAGGAAAAAAATGGCAAACTGTTTAACGCAAAGACGCGCTTCCATCAATTTGAATAAACAATTTGCGCGCATTGTCAAATCGTTTACATAATATTGCTCGGCTTTCGCTTCAGGCTTTCGTGTGTTTAATTCGACTTAATTTTGTTGCTAACGACTCTCGAAGTTGAAAACAGTTTGCGTAAATCGGTTGGGTTCGAAACGGTTATTTTGGGACAAAAGTACAAAAACCTTGCTTAGTTCGACGGAAAGTACACAAATTTTTAAGAAATCCAAAAATGAATCGTTATAAATCATTAAATTTATAAATGCACTAAAATTGTTTTCAAATACTTGTTAAATTTTAACAATTAATTAGGCCAAAACCATTTCTAAAGCTTTTCCGATTCGCTGCGCCTATCTATGCAATAAAACCGGGACATATAAACTTTAAGATTTTAGCTTGCTTTGGTTTGCAATAAAATTATCTAAGACGGCGGTTCGAAAAGCGTTAATTATTACTCATTACGTGCACACTGTTTTTTCAACTTTTTGGGCCTGTGTCCCACTTTTTATCTTATCTGAGGAAAGTGAGGACAGATTGTGGGCTGGGATTAAATAGTTCCCAACAAAAATGGGAAATAGCCGAGAATAGTGTTAGTGATGGGCCGTCGTAACTTCGCGGCTGAACGGGAACCAATACCTTCTAATGACCTTCTAATCGCCTTTCAGTTACCTGACTTTCATTTGCATTTCCTCCGGCACACGCGCCCCCTAACCTGCCTCTCAAATGATAACCCCGAGATAAGCTCATAAGCATTAACATTTGTTTAGCTTTGTGTTTTTTGCGCCCTGACGCATTGCTCGGTGAACTTTGGGTCTAAAAACAACAAAAAATCTTCTCGCGCAACCAAAACAAAATACTTATTCCGTCCACCAGTCCGAGCTATTCAATTTAATTGCGATTTGAGTGGGCACTTGAGAACCTCAAAAGGTAATATATAGTACTGGGCTTTTCGGAAGCTTATCAGCGAAAGGGAGTGTCTGTTGCTTAATCGCAGTCAACGAAGTATGTAGATTTGAAGTGGAAAGAACATATATAGTTGGGACTTCTAGTCATTATTGCCTTCGATTGTTTAATTTTTGTTACGAACGAATGCCTTCTCGTGGGGAGAAACAAACAAATAATGCAAAGATGATATAACTTAGAAAAGTACGGATATTGTACTTTTGAGACAAGTATAAAGTTTTGCGAATAATAATAAGCTTTGCTTTATATTCAAAAACAAGGAAAATGTACCAAAAATAGGCTGAGGTACTGGAAAAAAAACAATTTTAAATTTATGAATTTATGAACATTCTAAACTAAACAGTATAACTAGCAAAAAACTTGTGAAAAAACAAATAGCAACTTTGGTTTCTATGTTTTCAGGGCCCCAACCGGTTTCATTGTAAATCGATTTAAACCGAATAAATAAAGAAAACCCAAGCGTAAACTTGGCCGGGTCACCCTCTTATGAAGGTCGCCTCGTGGAACGAAGACTAGCCCTGACATTGACCCAGAGTCGGAGTGCCTAGCGAAACCGCATTTAGGAAGCCAAAAACCACCCAAAGTTGAATTAATTTTGGGTCGTTAGTCCCACTGTCACATTTGGCATGCAGACGATTAAACCAATTATTGGCAATCAAAACGAAAAAGAATCGCTCGATTTAACGTACACAAAAGTAATAAGGAAAAAGTTCCCAACCAAAATCGATGGCAGGTGAGATGTGCCATTAAGTTGCATCCTTGAGAACATATTTAAATTATGCAAAAGGAGTGCTATCATCTGTTTTGGTGTGGTGCCTGCGCAGTAAGTCCTCTTCAGAAAGAGCCCACCTTTCTACGTCACTAGGCGAGAGTTTCGTAACCATACGAAAAATCAATAATCCTGCGCTACCACATAAATACTTTTGTTTTCGTTCGACCTACGCCACCCAGAGGGAAAGTGGGCGAGGATTTCCAACCAGACTCACCAGTAGTAGGCTATCTGGTCGCCCAGACCGTTCCTAACGTTGCGATCTAGTAGATTGTAGCACAGATTGGTGGAGGCACCCTCCATCCATTTGATCGAAATGGGTCCCTTGGAGATGTTGAAGTTATACTTGAGAAACTTCTCTGGGTCGGCGGGCGTTTCCCAGTGGAACTGCTTGGCCACGCGAGACCAAAACTCGGCCGGATTGTCCAGCGACTCCTGGTAGAACTTCTGGTACTCCTCGAAGCTGGATATGTAGGCATTTTGGCTGATGGCCGGATTGGGATCATATATTGATTTTTCGGCTGGCATTTTGTTTTTGATTAGTGGTTTTGGTTATGTGTGTATATCCTTGAAATATTTTCCCTTGTTTGATGTGTTCAATTATCCTGTTTTGCAATTATCCTTAGCTTTGTGTGTGATTGTTTTTATTATTTTTAGGGGTTGGTTCTCGAGCAGCATGCGCTTCTCGCACCGCACGGAATGAGTTCTTTTTGAGCACTGACCACTCGAATGAGCTACTGCCAAGCTTTTCGCCTCCGTTGCCATAGCTTTCCGAATGGAAAAGCTTTGGCGAACACGCTCTTCAAGTTCAATGGGACATGGGCGGCGCTCTTCGGAGGGCTTATCATCTTGAACGGGCATATTTTCAAGGCGCGACTTGGACATCCTTATCGTCAGAGCACGGCGTAACTTTCCAGAGAGGTAGGTGTGTCATCGGTCCATCATAGAATCAATCAGGTGATGGCTGAATGCCGTGGCGTGCGCCATCGCGTGTCCAAGCAACAGTGTTAAATGCTTTTTCTTAAATCCGGCCAAGCACGCCGCATTAAGCTGATCTGTATTATTATGAAATTGAGTGCCTTGTTGAGTGAGTTCTTATCTTTGAGTAACTCTCAGCACGTTTCTCTTCGCTCATTTGGTCTTATCGCCTAGACGGTTTCCATGGGGGAGCAGGCGATGTCTGCTACCCGCAGGTCAAGATGCCCAATTTAAATATAAAATTTGGATTTACTGTGGATTCTTATTCGTAACAAATTTCAAGAGCTACAACAACGGGTGATTGACGATGAGTTTGGTTTGTGAGTTTTGGGTATGAGTGTAGCGTTTTTCAGCTGATAGCAAATGCTAGTTTACTCGTTTTAAAAGCTACAGTCAAGATGCTTTACGGGAAGAATTAGCATTTGGTTCTAGTGATCACCACTGCTGCTTAGAAAGGCTTTGTACTGGTCCTCGGTCATGAGGGCTTCGAGTTCCTTGGGATTCTTCAGGTCCACCTTGAAGAGCCAGCCTGGGAAAAAGCATGTGTTTTTAATAAAGTTGATAAAGGGTCTTAGCGCATATCTTACCCTTCTCATAGCAACTACTGTTGACCAGGGCCGGTGTGTCCTCCACCTGGGCATTCTTTTCGATCACCTTGCCGCTAACGGGTGAATACACCTCGCTAGCAGCTTTTACGCTCTCCAGGGCTCCACATTCGTCATCCTGCTTGAGTTCCGTGCCGGGTTCTGGCAGCTGAGCGAACACCACATCCCCGAGAGCCTCCTGGGCGTAACTGGAGATGCCTACTATGGCATTGCTGCCGGATACCACCTCCACCCACTCGTGTTTGTTTGTGTATCGGCGTTCTGGCGGAGATTACAGTTTGAGACTCAGTGGGTATTGCATAAACAAATGGTTTACCCTTGGCGAGGAGGCTTGTCAGGTGAAAGGCGCGAGCCTGGAAGCCCACAAGGGGCGTGGCACTTAGCTGGCGGGCGGCCTGCAGCCCAATCCTTGCGAATTTCGTGATGAATACCATGTTTTTCAAGTCAAAAACAAAGGCAACTGCCGGCGTGGTGAAATTTCCAACCGTTCCCGGGGGTGTTTCGGTGACAAATGATCGGATTCGAAAACACACACGCTACGTTTTATGCCCGGCAATAGAGATGAACGCTGAATATTGCCCGGCTTATCACAAGCCAGAATATAATTTGTGAACTTTTGTTGACCCGAGGAAACAGAGGCTTCTTCAAAATGGGCCTAAAAATGGCGTAAGGCGTGCATGCCGATAGCGATAATCGATAATCGGTCTATCAGCCTATCGCACTGCCCAACATTTTAGCGGGCTGATTGAACAATATGGACAATATTATTTATAATAAAAATTGAGTTTGAACACTTCTATTAAAAACAAAAAAAAAAACGTAATTTGGCATAAATTAGCCATCTTAATTTTAGAAAACACCTCGATGCTCCTTTTGTATTCCTTATCTTCTCCCAATTAATCGTTGTTGGGGGCCGATTTCTTTTCTTATCAGCTCTATAAAAAACTAATTTACATATATAAACAAATACCATTCCACTGTGGAACTAGAACGGCGTTATATATTTACAACTGTACACCTATTTTGTTATAAACATGCAAATAAATAAGAATAACCAAGCAGAAGAAATTGCTCCCGCTGATAAAATTTGATCTAAACTTTAGCTGGGAATATTTGAGAATTATAGTGTCGAAGAGGGCATAGGAGGGCTTAGGAGGGCCAAAGGGCTTAATAATCTAGTACTGGTTGGTGCGCAGAATGCCATTCGGGCTGGGCTGCGGGGAATAGTCCGGTACGGGGAATCCCGAGGTGGCCACCACAATGGTTTCCATGGGATTCTGCGAGGCTTGTCTCAGCGGGCGGCTTTGCTGCGGATTCGGAGGCGGATACTGCTGGAACGCGTTGAGGTCCCGGAATCGACGATCCATCAGGTTCGAATCCATAGACAAGTGCGCTGCCCGCACAATAGCTTCCTCGTTCACCTCAATGGTCTCGGCCATGGAACGGGTCTCCGGAACGTAAGCGGCGTTGTTATACGCCTGGACCTCCACCCTGTCAGTAAAAGTCGAGAATTCGATTTAAGTTGTTATGGATTCTTGGATAATTTCTACTCACTCCTCGTAGGCGCGAATCGGCGTCCTGGTGGTCAGAATATCATTGGAATCCTTGCGAGGATTGAACAAAGTATCCTGTGGAAAATGACATGTTCGTTTAAATTTGAACAAGAAAGATACAGCCTATCCAACATTTTGTAATATTTTATTGCAGAAGAAATTTGGTTTTTTTTTGCGAAAGTTCATATTTATACTGAGCAACTTCGTTTACGGGAACTATCCTTGTTAAGACCCAAGCCCTGAATGCGCAATAAATCATAATTTCTACTGTGTTCGGTAACACGAAACCGAAAACCCAAGAGCCCGCTATCAGAAACCTGATGCCAAATTGGAAACCAGCTTATCAGCAATTACTTCCACCACATTGAGTTATTGGCGACAAAGTGCTAAGTTTAGCCATGTCGTAGTCACTGCCCGCCGATTTTGACTTTTTACGTTGTTCGAATATTTTCAGAGACAGTGTCGAAAATTTATGGAATCAGAAAAGACAACGGAGAAGTCACCCAACATAAGCGGACGATGAGCTCACCCGCAGACATGACCACAACTTACCACATTGTCCTTATCGGTGGAAATGCGAATGGCTCTCACCACGAGGTATACGAGCAGTTTAAAGTTAACGAGCCACAGAACAAATCCCTTGAAGGAGATGATCATCATGGAAATGGCAGCCACTCCTCCTGCGATTAAAGTAGCAGCTAAGGGATAAATGACACCTTCATTGATACTGTTGGCATTATATTTCAGCGCCTCATGGTGGAAACGTCCGAAATCCACGCCGAAGATCACTCCGGAAGCTACATCCATGCTGCATATGGCGGCCACGAAGAAGGCCCAGATGTAGATGGCAGTCACGGTCTGCTTTGGTTTATCCTTGCGCACACCTGAAAGGGATCGAATATAAACGGGCTATAAAACCAAGTATAATCCATCACGGGCAAGAGTGTCATAAAAAGAACAGGGCGCTAAACATGTGATACTTATATGGGCTTACTTATTGGTGATACATCAATCAAACTAATAATTAAGTCATTAAATAATATAATTTTAAAAACCACTGTGTATGGTATTCCCTGAAATGTGTCAAACAGCTAAATCCCTTGTTTAAAATTAAAGTAAATGTCATTAAATAAATTTAAATTAATCAATTACTAGATAAGATATGTTTTGTACATATTTGATCAGTATTCAGATTGAGTCATAACATACCTATGCACGTTGTAATATGTTTTAAGTTTAGAAAAAGACATTTAAGACAGAATGAAACACAGAATGTGACCTCTTAGTTCACTTGTGGCTTAATTTTCTTAAGTTTTAGAAAGCCTGCCAACAACTGCTAAGAATGTAATAAAGTGGAGTATAACCATCATGAAATCGTTATATAACCCGTCATATAAGTTCCAAGCGAATTTATCATTAGGTTTTGTTTATTTGGGACTTACGGCTTTGTGCCATGCGAGGGCCTTTTGATTTTATCAACAGTTTTGGCTGCTTGATAAACAAATGTTTAGATTTCTCCTAGTGAATCATACAGGTTTCGATATCTTAATTCTATATGCAGTTCATTTCCGGTTCTTAAATACTTACACAGAAGCAGCACAACGGAGACGATGAGCCAGCAAACCGAAACGCCCAGGTAGACCGAAGACCAAATCAAAATCTGGGTTGGATCAAAAACGGTGTTCACTGTATTCAGGATAGTTTGGTCGTAGTTCTGGTAATCGTTGGGATTCATCTTGCAACTGCCCTTGAAGTACACGTCAAAGAATACAGTCTTCACCATGGAGCCATAGGTGAGTTCATTTGTAATATACAGGACACAATTGAAGGCACATATCGCTGTTATGGTCAATCCTATCCAGATGATAGACTGAGCCTAAAATAAAAAAAAAAAAACAATAAATAATAACTTATAAAAGATTCAAAAGAAACTAAATAAAATTGCGAATTATTTTTGTTTGGAACTTGTTCAAAACGATTTTAATAAATTCATAGTTATATTTATATTGAAAATTAGCGAAATAAATAAGTTGCATCGCTGTTCTCCATCGTAAATGAGGTTGATGACTTCTAGATGTTTATATTATTTTAAACTTGATATATTTATTTACGGTTTTAATGTCCCAATCTAGATCTTTTGTTCATTCACTTGTTTACACACGTCAATCGACATTATCAGTTATCTGTTCGGTTCAGCTTTTCTGTTTGGGAGTCGTCAATGAGTCAATGAGTATTATATCATGATTAGCTCGCCACCTCGAAAAATCGACTTTTCCATGGCGGAAGACCATCCAATCTTAGTAAGTGCATTCATGGTCACAATATCTCTTATCAATGGGCTTGAAATGGGGTCGCGGTCGATTGTTGGCCTAGACTGTAATGAATTCCAACCGCTGACTTACCACTCCGAGAATTCCGGCCCAAACTGCGACTGTTCTGAGGGAGCAAAAGTGCTTGATTTTCGCCGCTGGTGCTGAATACATTTTGCCGTGACTGTTGGACGTAAGGGGTGGTTTCGATTGCTTGATATTCTCACGCCCCGGATGCGGGACTCAAATCGATCGGGTTGAGTGCGCTTTTGCAGTACGCGACGTCTGTTGGCCAACTGAACGATCGAGCCGGACAAATAGGTTTGCCACCCGTTTACTATATTTTCTGATAAACTTGCGATAATGATTCTTATAACAAAAAGCCAACTGGCCAGGGGCTTTTATTTTGTTATGTTTCGCTTGGATCGAGGCGGTGTCCGCTTGCTTTTCGTTTCGTTCGTTAACTGAATTCTGTGGTTTGGCTGGAACATTTATCAGGTCGTAAGTTATATTATCGCTACTGATAAGAGAGCCCCCTCCACCACGACTTTCCCTTGGCTTGAATTGTAAGAGAGAGACCAAATCGAATGGCTAAATTTGGAATTCCGGAATCTTATCGGTCTTCTGTATTAGCACATTAGTGATGTTGGCCTTTATCACTGCGTAAATGCAAGTATTTAATGCTTACCTCAGAAGTTAAGTATTCCAACTATTTTCTGGGACAATTTTTTAAGTATTCAAAGTGGGCGGGCAAGTGCGCCCTCTGCTGCCTGCGAAACGCACTATTAATGTTTGCCGTTGCATGACACACAAAACGCGTCACGCCTTTCAAACCTAAACGGTGCTTATTATAAAGTTTTTATAAAAGCAAGCACAAGAAATAAATATTTATTTGTATGCGACCACTGCCCAATCGCAATTAGCACATTAAATGAATTATTTTATAATGTAATTAATCCCGTCATCGTATAAAACGGCAACGCTGTTACATTTTCTCTGTCTGACCGTGCTTGACCTCCCAGGCAGCCGCCATTTCCGTGGCGTGCGAGCGAAACAACTAGCCCATGTTCTCCCGCCGTGCCAGGGCAGCGAGCATGCTAAAGAGCGAGACGACCATATGCGGCCGACGAGAACCGCCGTAGCATATACGCATTTTTAACCCTAAAAAATACAGCACCGAGTCTTTAGTACAGTCAAAGTGACGCCGCGACAACCCAGAACGATACCGAGAATTAAAAACGGAGAAGATTGTTGTTCCTGGTGTCCAAAAAATATAGATAGTTTCGTTCGAGTGGCCGATCCAATTCCGAGCAATAACTAAAGGCCAGCAAGGTGCCCAACCGGAGTGCAGGAGTGCAGTTTGTCGTAATCGCCGATTAATATTGAAAAGTAGCGGCTTGCAGTTGCGCGTGTTGCGCCCGCACAAACCGAAAAACACCATCACTACGGCGTGCTCATCCGAATCCAAAACGCCACGAGATGAACAACCAACTGAATCCGGCCACCTACCGCAAGTTTAACAATCTGCTCAGTAGCGGAGCGGTCACTGTGACCGGTCCCAGCCAGCCGCGAATCCTTAAATCGACGCGTCTGGTGGTACCCGGTGGTGGTGGCGGGGGAGGTGCCTCTGCCGGAGGAGTCTCATCCATCGGCGGAATAGCGCAGCAGCAGGCGGTCAACGATGCAGAGTCGGGTGGTCTGGGTGTTGGCGGACTAGCCACGCGATGCTACATCTGCGATGACCGCTGCGAGCCGCAGACTTCGTTAACTGAGATGTGCACCACGCACACTTCCACCAAATTCCCCAACAAACTGGCCCAGCTCGTGGGCGAGGGTTTCCTCGTTATTGTATGCGGCGAGGATTACGTGTGCTCACGCTGCACCAACCTGGTGAACTACTACGACCGCCTGGAAAACGATGTGGAGCGCGTCAAGACGAACCTCATCAGTTTGCTTAACAAAAAGTATGCCATTAACGAGGATGTTGGCCTGGAAAGTAGTCCGCCGCTCAAGATGCAGAAAATGGTCGGCGGAGCCGCTAATCGCTCGCTGGAGGAGAGTCCTAGTGCGGATTTACTGCGTCCACGTAAGGTCCTGCAGGGAAATCCGGGTAAGCACTTAATACAGAAATTTTAAAGCTTTTTTAATGCCTATTTTGAAATGAAACAGTTGGCCAGTCCAAGATCGCCCCAGGAACCACCCAGAGCAGCGTCCAGGGTACTCAGACAGTCCAACGCAAGGCCACCAAGATCTATAAGTGCACTTCATGTGACTATAAAACCTCCGATATGCGGCTGTTTAACACACATTATGAAACCTGCAAGCAGCAGACCTTCCAGTGCAAGACCTGCCGCAAAATCTTCCCGCACTTCGGAGCCATGAAACAGCACATGGTCCGCGACCACAACACCGCCATGGATAACACTTGTGCCATGTGCCACATTAACTTCGTGAACGAGAACAGCCTGCGCAAGCACATGGAGACGAATCACGCTACCAATGTACTGGTGACCAGCACCACCACCATACCGGCATCTGCAGCTCCCGTGGCTGCTGCTGCAGCCGCCGCTGCTGCTGCTGCCAACGAGAATCTGAACGTGGTTGGAACATCGCTGTACACATGCAACCATTGCCAGTTCAAGTCTACGGACAAGGGCGTTTTTGATGAGCATATGCGCAAGCATGCCGCTGGTAAACCAAAGCCTTTTAAGTGCCGGCTGTGCTCTCAACGCTTTGAGACGCGCGATGCGGCTACTGTGCATGCCAAACAGCATCAGACCAACTTCTTTAAGTGTGGTACTTGTTCAATGACCTTCCCGAAGCGAGAACTTCTCGTTAAGCACTTCGAAGTGCATCAAAATCCTACCGCCGCGACGGTATCGCCCAAGCAGCCAGTTAGCCAGAACCTGAACACCCAGAAGCTCCTCCAAGAGACAATTGATGAGGCACTCAGCGATAGCGTGCCTGCTTCGGCTTCTGCAGCTGCTGTGGTGGCCACCACCGAGGCGGAGAACAACATTCGCTTCTTCTCGTGCAGCATCTGCTCATTGACCTTCATCCAGGAGACATACTACAACCACCACATGGAGACCCACAGACGTGACAAGAAGGGAACTTCGGCCGGAGCCGCTGCCCTTAATTCGGCAGCTACGGCTTTACTAAGCGATGAGCCCGGAGAGGCATCGGGTAAAGCCGGAGACGAGAGTGGCGAGCAAAATGCAGAGGCTGACATCGAGAGTTTGTTTGAAAAGCTCCACTCCGACAAGAACGAGAGCGGAGAGGCGACCAAGCCTGGAAGCAAAGGCGGCGAAATGGTTATTACCTCGCAGGAGGGCAGTGGCGGCATAACCTTCAACATTACTATCCCGCAACCGGACGGAGACCAATCCCAAAAGGATTCACCCAATGCCACAGCACCTGTCTCTGTTAGCATTGACATGCCAAATCTGGATCAGGCCGAAGACGAGTCCCAGTCCCAGGGCAGCATTGATGCCAAGGGCGAAAGCGGTGAGGCCTCCTCTGCCGATAGCAAATCCAACGCCGCTCCCGTTTCCATGCCCAGTTTAGATGATGACAACGAGGCTGCCGCTGCTGAAGCTGAGACCTCAGAGGAAACCAAGACGGCTAGCAAAGCGGGCCAAGAGAAAGCCAAGGCCAAGACTGGAGAAAGCGGCAAGTCGAAGGAAGTCGCCGCTGCTGAGGAACCACAACCATCGGACGAAGGAGAAGTAGGGTCTAAGCGTGAGGCTACAGATACACCCACAACTGAGTCGGAGGCCACTGCCGCGACCGCTGAAGGCGGTGAATCAGGCGAAGGCGAGGTTACTGCAAGTACTGGAGCCGAGGGCGAGGCTGGTGAAGCTGCAGGTGGCGAGCATGTGGCCATGGAACTTGACGAAGCCATGCAGGCGCAGGTGGAAGGTGGCCAGATCAAATTCATTGTTAACGAGAACGGCCATCTTCTCCAGCTGGACAACCACATCCTGACCGACGCCGAAGGCAACCAAATCATTGTGCAAGATCCCGAGCAAATACAACAGCTGCTCCAAAGCGTTGGAGTGCTGCAGTCCGGCGAGGGACTTGAGGGCGAAACACTCCAGATGATGACCGATGGCAGTGGCCAAATGGTACTTGTGCATGGCGACAACAATGAACAGCAGCTTATCGATGCCTCTCTGTTGAACTCCGAGGGGCAGTTAATTATCCAACAGGGACAGGATGGTGAGGAAGGCGCTCATGTCATTAGCGAGGATGGTACCCGTATCCCAGTGTCCGTGTCGTATACGGCAGATGGCCAGCCCATCGTCCAGGTTCAGCAACAGGTCCTGGAGGCCGCTCAGCAGGCAGCGAGCGCTTCCGGCAGTGCAGATGACAAAGAAGCGGCTGCCGCCACGGCCGGCGAAGAAGTGCAAGTGTCGGAGGCATCCAGTGCCACGGCATCAACGACCGTTGTGGCCACGAGCACGGCCAGCAGCACTGGTGGCCCCTCCGGCGGCAGCTTTTTTGCCCTGGAGGAGTTTTCGGAGACAAAGGCCGACTAGGATTGGCCTTAGGGGCGTGGCCATGACCATTATACCATACTGGCATGCGAAGAGGACTGGTAAGTTAATGGAAGTACCAGCGTGAACTGGGATATTAAGACCTTAATTTTTGCTACAGGTTTTAGCTGTGGGCGCGCTCAAGATCTCTGGAGGACTTTTGCACACCCCGATTTGAAACCTACACCCTGACACCCAAAACCGAAACAACTTCACAGACAACTGAACACGAAGACAGAAATACACATGAACCTTTTCAATATATATTTACATTTAGTATATGTATTAAACACTCCAGTAAACTAAAAGAACTATTTCTTATTCCCGAACCAGAAGAAAAACCTAATTCAATCAATCAAATTGTTCATTCGGTCCGTTTCGCATTCGGCTGCCAGGGATCTCTACCCAGATCTCTTTGGTTGCCTCTTAAAAATCGTGTCTAGGTTTAGTAATAGTATAGACAAACTACAAGATGAAAACGACAAAAAAATGTATAAACATAGAGTTTATGTGAGATACTTGAAAAAAAGATAAATGTATGTATTTACACGCCAACTCAACAATTACACTAAATAAATCGATTTAAACACAAACATTTGATTAAAACGAAGTTCCGAAATCGGCACAAATAAAATCAGAAATATTGATGCTTCCTAAGAACTAGTGATCCCCGTAAAATTATAAGGACAGGTAAACAATTCCCGCTTCCTAATTCCATAAAAGATTCCATATCCAGATTCACACCCAAAACAAACAAACCCAGGCCACAAACACACCGAGATATATACATACATATATGTCAAGCAACTTGAAATATATAATTGTAAAGAAACGAACATCGGTTTCGTGTTCCTTTTTACTCTGCGTACGATCTTTGGAATTCGGTATGCATGTAAATCAATTCAGATAAGTTAATTAAACAAGCTGATGGCAACTTTGTTCCAACGAATATAGATGATCCATAAGTCAGGCGGCAGTCTCAACGTTTACATATTGTCAGTATGGATTCAACCATTCATTTCTCAAGTCAATAAGGTCGTCGACCTTTATAAATAGATTAGTCGGTTATGAATGCATATTTAATAGCGAAACTTTCGACACGTTCTTAATTGCCCAACAGCTGTTGGCGGCTAAGGTACGCCTATTTAAATTTTCAGGTAGTTGATTAATAAGATTTAATACTAAGTTGGATTCTAAAACCCCAGCGGTGGCATTAAAGCATTTGGACTGTCATGATAGCCTTATAAATGCCCCGTTCCGATCCGTAAATCAGCGAATGTTGTGATTTTAAAAACAGCAACCGGATTGGCACGTGGATGCGGTTCAAGAGGAACTAATGATTATTTGATAGTTATGTACGAGTATACAAAAATAGGACGTGCACAAATTGGTGATCTGCGCCTGCGGGTTGTTTGTCATTTATCTAATGACTCTGTTGAAAGGAAGATAAGATAAACGAACCCGCCATGAATAATTCATATTTGAATAAGTTTAAGTGGGATGGAGTTCTAGCACCTAAGCGGTGGTTTGGAGTGCAAGTAAGTGGTTTGGATCCAGCAGTAGTGGCATTCAACTTTTGGAGATGCCCGCGGTAATCGTTCCGAGGCCGGAACCAAGTTGGGTATTAGTTTTAGGCGATGGCATCAATCAGTAACTTGTTTCGGCTCGGTGACATTAAACGGTGTCAACTCCACATGGTTTATTAGTCTGCTGGTTACATTAATTCGCTCTTCGAGATTCGGTCAATATTATGCAACGGCCTTAATTAGGCGCCCACATGCAAATGAGCGGCGACAGGCGCAATCTTCTCGCCGATTGCGCCATCGCAGAAACGAAAGTCGTTCTTAAAGACAAGGTCAGATTGCTCATCGGATCGGATTAGTACGACAACTTTATAGCAAAGCTCACAGAGCAGGAGCGAACTAATGAAAGCTGGCATTTCAGTGCGCTTGATTTTGTAGACTAATGTCAACATGCATAGAAAACATGACTTCCACTAGTTTTGCAGTATATAAATCTTTGGCTTTATAAAGGAGCATTCTTATTCATTATAAAAGTTGCCGGTTTTAACACGCTTTCGATAAATTAATTAAGTCAGACCGAAATAGCGTTGATAAAGCTTAGTTCTACTTTCAAACCATAAATTTTAAATTTTGTTGTCAATTTTTATAGACCATACGTCTTAAAAATATTATCCAGAGATAAAATATTTATACATTTACAAAAAATAAAAATGTATTTTTTATTCTATCTTCTCTTTTGCATGTATGATAAATATTATTTTATTTTTTCTTTAAACACTATTAGTTTATTTAAAATTATTATTTTTCCCTATCCTTACCGATTTCCTTATCTGCATCCTAGCCAGCATATTCATTCAGGGTTTTCATATTGAAATATTCACAGCTAAAAATTTCATTGACATGCTCATTATATTTTATCCAGTTTGATTGTTATTTATTGATTATTTATTCCTTCCTTTAGGCAAACTTTCCGGACTTCTGGAACGCAGATCAATTAAGTCTAGTACTTTATTTATAATTCTATAATATTTATTGACGTGCTATATATTTTGGTTTGCTCTTGTTGTTGCCTTTTTGTCCGATTGGCGTGCAAAAATGATTAACATAAATACGAATTAAAAATATTCCGAACCGTATTCAGTTGTATATTCAGCCAGCCCAGCTATTTAGACGTCAATACATAATTGCTGTAATGTCGTAAAGTTGTTTACCAACGTCTCGACCGAAGCTCATCCACCGGTGGATGCGTGCGGATGTACTCCAACTGGCGGATGACGTGGGGCGGGATGGCAGGAATCTGATCTCCGGTGGGCTGATATCCATTTGCATCGGCCACGTATGAGAAGGTAATGGGTATTCCCTCGAGAGAAACGAACTGAACCACTCCAACGGCTCCATTCTCATTACCAGCTCCTTTGGTGGTAATGCCATTTGTGGTCTGGAACTCGTAGCTGTAGTGACCAAACGGATCGGGTGGCGTATTCCGGTAGTAGATGGTCCTGTCCAAAGACGGTGCAGTAATGTCCGTACCATGGGTTAGGTGAACTAGGACTAGGACCAGGAATGCCACAAGCTGATCGGGCGATTGGGAGTGCAGTTGGTTAGTAGATTAAATACTGGTCACAAAACGTCGCACAAACCTTGCCGTACGACATCATCGCCTAATTACATTAAAATTATTCCAAATGTTTGTTTTACGGTGTGGATCGTGAACCTGAAATAAAGATACTGCTGCTCTGAACCAGAATCAAAGTCAGTATCCCAGTATTAACCGTTAGGGAGCGGCAGTTAATGCGACGCGAGCTGCTGCGTTCGAAAGTTAAGTTAAAACTGGCCAAAAAACATTTAACCAGGCCGAAAAGGAAGCTTTCGATGTTTGTAGAGGAAGCTTCAGCTAACCAGTGATCTCTCTGGAATTCGTTCTCGGAATATTAGACGAGGAAGCTAAACAGCATAGCCCGGGAATTGGTGCAACCAAAAAGCAGAGGCATTTGTTCACTACAAAAAATACGAGTTCGTGGCCCGGGTTTTGATTTATATTGACTTTGTGCTAATGCCCGCCCATTATCGCCATCCAATGGAGCTGTTTTGGATTTTTCGGGCTAGGTGTGCCTGCATGGCAATCCGATCTGAAATCGAAAGTTATGCACAGTGGTTCGACAAAGATTCATATGTCTGGCTTGCAGACAGCCCAGTCGCTGAAATATTGTGCCATTTAGTTATTAAGTTATCATATTTAAATTCTATTTTCAGCTCTGAAAGGTCATGTTTAAAATTAGCCAAAAAGCCAATACCAAATGCTTCAACTTCGATTATTCGATTAACTTTTTCGAGATTTCAAGCGGAACGCGAAATGCTAAAGGGGTTTACTGCATTGATCGTTGCTGATTCGGTGTTTTTTTTAATTAATGAGTTATTTAGCCCGGCAAATTGAAATGGTTAACCTGAAACGTACTGAAAAGATAATTTATGCATATTTTAAATAATGTACCTTTGGTTAACTTATTATACCCGTTACCCGTTACCAGCCAGAAAGATGAGTTTCCGATCAAATAAAAAAAATATATATTTTTGATCAGGATCAATAGGCGAGTTGAACTAACCATGTCCGTCTGCCCGTCCGTATGAATGTCGAGATCTCAGGAACTATAAAAGCGAGAAATTGAGATTAGACTTGCAGCTTTTAGAGACATAGACGCAGTGCAAGATTGTTTGTGGCGACATGCCAAAGCCACTCTGACGCCCACACACCACCCAAAACTACTTTTATAATTTTGTCTTGCAAATTTCTATCGATTTGGCAAAAAACTTCCACTAACGCAGTAACGGGTATCTGATAGTCGGTGAACTCGACTATAGCATTCCCTCTTGTTTTTAATATTGGAAAGTTTCTAAGCAACTATAACTTCTTTGAAAAATTGTTTCCCATTTGTTATCTAAAGCGCAACCCCTTAAATATACATATCTCGACCCACTGTGTGAAATATGGAGCTATGTAGATCTAGACCTTGCACGATTTGTATAATGTAGCCCCGCACCCCGGCTATTTGCATAGCTTAAAAACTTTACAACTTGGCCGCTTGTCAAGGTGTCGGTGCGGAGAATCAATCAGCCCATCAATCAGAATACATTTGTATTTGCCTAATCATATTTGCATTATGTTTGTTTGCCTTTAACACTTTTTGCTAATTAAGATACAATGCCTGTGTTTTTTGCTGAGGATTTACATAGCAAAGGGGCACTCGACGACGATGAAAGCTTGAAGCGAAAATAATCTCCGGCTAATTTTCGGACATAAATCTTCAAATCAAACGATTTGTGATCTTTTTTCGCGGACAACATTAATTAAGTAACACAAATCTACGCCAAATAGTTTAGCCTTAGTATCGGCTGCGAATCACAAACACGAAAAACTAGAAAGCCGATATCAAAAACTACAAATTAACTGCCTTTTCCAGTTCTCCCTCTGCCAGAGAACGTCTTCTCACCGTCTTGGAACTATTGTACGATGCTACGATGACGCTGCGGATGACTCTTTCGAACTGTGGTTTCTGACACATTTGAGAACAATAATTTAGGCATACGAAAATATAAACAAAAACTACGACTGATTATGCTGAGCATTCTATCAAAATTACCATAATGTAGGCGACGCCCTCACATGTAGAGCGCAAAACAAAAGACTTAGGCAACGAACTTTATAAGGCTCAATCAGTCTGCTGCGAAACCTGTAAAGAGCATGGTCGCTTTTATTCAAAATAAGGAACTCGAATCGTTTCATAACTTCCAGATCAACAAATAAAAAATCGTTAACAAAAATGTTGTGTTAATCTAGGTTCTTGTGACTTCTATAATTTGATGGCCTATTTTCTACGATTTTATCGCATCTGCTATGATTTCTATAATAACCATTTGCCTTTGCTTCAAATCCAGAACAGGCTCTAAAAATTAATTTAATATTTTTTGATGTGAATATTTCATAACATGCTGAGCGCCAAAATGCTTCCGTGTTCGGAACCCTAGGTGGTATCATCTGTTACGGATAAATAGGTGCAAAAAGTATACACTTTTTTCAAGCGGTTATATAAAAAACTTAAACTTTAATATCATAATATCATTGGTAGAAATTAACAAAGTGAAGTGATTAATCCATTGATCGAGATTTAACTACTTCACACAGATAACTTAGCTCGATTAACTAGTTAATAATAACAAAATCGGAAACTCGGCATCATAAACTCCGAATCAAATTGGCAGCAGCTCTTCAAGAACTCGAGCTACTTATCACATTTCATTATCACATTTATTAGCATCTGAAGTATGAAACCGTAAAATATGAATAAGCAAACATGATGAACGGAAATGAATTATATAGTCGCTTCGATATGACCTGCTATCGAGAACCAAAAATTGGTGGGAAGGGTAGCCACAAAGAGCGCGTTTTATCACAGACGACGCCAGAGCCACCGATTATTGTCATTTCGCTATGCTTATTAGATTTTCGTGGCTTACGTTTTGGCCCGTTGTTTACGACATATAAAGTTGAAGAGACCAGCTGGCCGGAGTGGCAGTACGGTGGCTAACCTTAAACCTCGCAGACGTCAGGATTCCGCAGCGGATTACATCAAATCCGGATATTATAAATTATTACAAAATCAATCATAAAACCCCAAGTGGATATCGTGTATTGCTGACAGTGCGAAAAGACACACCGAGATAAAACCGAGAAATATGCGAAATTTTGTAAGCACTCGACCCTGTGTCCATTTGTGTTTCCCATCTGATCTGTGAACTTGATGGCTGATAAGACCTCTTTCAGCTAATTGGCCTTTTCTTGTTGGCCCTCATTTGGGTGGAGGCTGATGCCCGCCTGGTGAGGGTTCGCCGGATCCGGAGATTGGTCGGCGCCAGTGAGCGGGATGCTCAGATAACGGACTTCCGGGTTTCGCCCTTGGATGACGAAGGAGTGTTTAAGTATGCCTTCAAGACCAGCAATGGGATCGATGTAAAAGCGGCAGGATCTGCGCTGGAGACCATTGGCATCTATAGCTACACCTCACCGGAGGGCGTTCCCATCGAGACGCGCTACATAGCCGATGAACTGGGCTTCCATGTAGTGGGTCGACATCTGCCGCAGCCACCGCCCACTCCGGACTATATCCTGCGATCCTTGGAATATATTCGCACACATACTGAGGATGGCAAGCTGAAGAAGCCGCACTTCTTGTGAAGTTCCTGACTGGATCCTGCCCACCATACACATCGACTTGGATGCAAGTGTCCGTGATGAAGGCTGAACATACCATAGCATGTACTAATCACCAACAAATCTTAACTCACCAGCTTAAAACTTAAGACATAGACTAAGTTGTTGCTAGATGTTCTAAGCTCTTCGAAATGCGCAAATGTTTCTTGCCTTCGGGCTGTTCCGCTTGGGTTATAAATCAATCCATCCATCCATCGATTCTTTCACGGCGTGAATTTACGGTCTTCGTGCCCATAAAGAGCAAACAATGGGGCTCGGTCAAACAGAAAACACAAAGTATCTCGGGTAACCCCAACGAACTTTAGCTTGTTATCCCATTAACTGCGAACAGCTTTATTTGTCTGCGTGTCTGATTAATATTTACGTCTATTCTCAGATATGGAAATTTGAAAACTGGATGGAAAACAGTCGAAACTTTGTTTGGTCGACCTTTCGATGACTTAATAATAAACGGAAATTTTTTCCGGGTTCGAACAACCCTCATCAAAAGAGCGTCTCGGGCAGCATTTGCAAAATTTCGACCAAGTTCGGCTCGCTCGAATTTAAAACCGACCTAACATATCTTTTAAGCGAATTAAATGCCACAAATTGCGAAAACCTTTGTTTGCCATTTATTTGTTTTTTGGTTGGTAGCCCGAAAGTATAGTTTACGTTTAACAAACTGGTGATTTTGTTTCTTTTAATTTATCTCTTCTTTAGATCAATGTACCCATTACTCGTAGAGTAAAAGGGAATACTAGATTCGTTGAAAAGTATGTAACAGCCAGAAAGAAGCGTTTCCGACCATATAAAGTATATATTCTTGATCATTGCCAAAAGAGAACGCCTCGATTTCAGGAACTATAAAAGCAAGAATTTTGAGATTAGGCTTGCAGTTTTCAGAGCCATAGACGCAGCCCAAGTCTGTACAATTTCTGCCACGCCTACACTTTTGAAAAATGTTTTGAAATTTTTTAATATTTTTTTAGTTTTGTAAATTTGTATCGATGTGCAAAACACCTTTTTGCCACGCCCTAAGGTGCTCTAACTCTAAAACTGTCACGCCCACTCTTTAAAAACTTTTTTTATTTTATTTTTTATATTGATATATTTCAGATAATGTTGAAATTTCTCATTCGCACTTTCAATAGCTAACTAACGGGTATCTGATAGTCGTGGGGCCCGACTATAGCATTCTCTCTTGTTTTTGAATTCAATTAATTTGGTTCGGGAATGACGACGCTTTTAGTAGATAGTGTAATAAGTTAGATACTTACAAGTTTTTATTTTGATCGAAATGTGTCATTGACTGGTAATTTTCGACTCAAGTTTTATTACATAGATAGTTTGTTTTGTCTCATAACTGTTTTTATATTCTATACCAATTTGAAAGAGAAAGGAGGATACAAAAAAATTGTTTAAAATGTAAATGCTATCTGCCTGATATTTTTGTTCTACCGAATGTATTACTTAGCAGCCTTATTTGTTTAAGACGAAATACGCTTCTATATTATTTGAAAAACTTTAAGATAGTCGAACGGAATGTGAATATTTTATTTTCCAAGTTTACTATATTAAAAACGATAATTATCTGTATCGAAATCCTTTATTAACGATAACTACCTAAATAACAATGACTGGCCGCAGTTTTGATGTGGGGTTGCTGCTTTGAAGTGCTGGTGCTACTCCAGGCTACTGCTCCTTCTGGGCGGGCGCCGGGGGATGGGTGCGAATGTATTCCAGGGCACGGAGGACGTAAGCCGGAACTGGGGGCGGGGTGGGCAGATGGTCACCCACTGGGTGGTAGCCCTCCTCGTCGGCAGTGTAGGTCAGCGAGATGTGCTCGCCCTCGGGCGACACGTAGGCCACGGCACCACGTGCTCCGTTGGCGTTGCCCGCCTCCTGGACCTGGATGCCATTGCTGGTCTCGTAGGCGTACTGGTAGTTACCCTCGGCATCGGTGGCGTCGTTTTGGAAGCTACGGATCTGGGCATCCTTGTTGATGTTGTCGGCGCAGGCGCAGCCGATGAGAGCCAAGCAGAACAGCTTCGGGAGCAAAATATATTGATCAGTGATGTGATGTGGGGTTGAGGAGACCATCCGAACTTACATATTTGTACATGGTGATGGAAATTGGGATTTTCTTCTCTAAAAGCGGTGATGCTGTTATGATGCTGTTTGCAGTGCAACTGTTTAATTTGATCAGCTCAAGTGCGTCTTTTATATGGATGAGACCCTTGTCTTTAGTGGCGAGCACCTAAACGGGTTTTTGCTCGTTGAATCACAAGGACCCGAGAGGTGGGTATAATTGCCAAAATGTCTTCTTATCATACTACCAATAATGGGGTACAATAACAACAATGATGGGCTGACCTATAGTTAAAATACATGAGTCATTTGCCAACCATTTATATTGTATGCTTTAATTCGGTTTCAGTTTCGGATTCGGTTTCGCACGAGATACCATTAACTGTTGAATTACAATCAAATAAATATTGCTGTTTAATGCGACGCTTTCGGCTCATTCAAAACACCGTTGGAAATTCCACACACGAGCTGAAGATTTCTTGTTACAACTTTCAATTGGAGTTGCGCCCTGGGCTGGAGGCTTTCAAATGTAGTGGCAGGTGTGATGTTATACACGTACATACCTTGTGCCCCTGGAAAGCTGTTGAAACATGGACAAGGTCAGCGGGCAGCATGTCACCCGGAGCGCCGCCGAAGATGATCCAGCCAAGCAATGCAATGTGTGATCTTCTGATACCCTACATTTATGACTTTAATTAATTGTTCACTTTGATCTGCTGCGAATTGATTAATAGCAATGGACTCACGATAAGTTGGAACAAAGATATTTATTTTGTTTCGAAATTAGCTTAGCAAACAACATCAAGCGTTGGCAACTGTTGTTAATTGTTCAGAATAATATTGCTAAATAAGAATGTGTGCAAAATCTGAAGTAAGCTAAACATTTAATATAGTTCACACCTATGTATCTATGTGTAAGCAAACGAACTAGGAAATAAATGTCATAAAATGGTATATTATTTCAAACCCAGGTAGAATACAGGCGAAGTTATAGGCACACACTAATCTGACAATCCTTAGGTATATACAGTGCATTTTCCTTCTTCTAATATTTCTGGATGTTGAGCCACACCCGATTCCCAAGTACTACACCAAATCGGATAGCTATGCCAAGAATGCTATCAATTCGGAGGTGCGAATACTAGACAACGAACTACCCGGTTTCTTCCACTTCAATCTGCCCGATGGAGGATACATACGGCTGATTTATCACGTGGATAGGTACGGATTTTATACCGAGACTTTGCTGTGACATAGTATGACAATTATGTTGAGGGTGTCTGTCAGTGCAGTCTTGCTATAACTGGAAACCAGATTTATTCCGAGTCTAATTTGTATTTATTAAAAAAATATATAAAAAAAGAAATGCAAATATAGATCAAAATGTTATTTAAAACGGTTTGAGAACTGCTGTTTAATATCCAGTGATATTGGGAATGCATCTATATGGAGGTAAGCAGACGTCGAAATGATCTGAGAATTTGTGTATTTAAATTTAAATTTTGATAATTAGCAATTCAGATTTCAGTGAATGTTTCCATCTGTCCAATATGCCATAGATCTCGGATAGGACTACGATGCTGGTAGGTCGAGCGCCGATTGATAGGCATTTTATTAGGCGGAGCGCTAAGTGCGATTAGGCCTAGAAAAGAATTTATTAGTCCACAGCAAATTTGTATGCTAATAAGCTGATCTTGCTGATTTTTTTGGGAATTTAAGAATTTCTTGATGAGCAAACAGGTTGTCCGCCTGCGCTTATAGCAAGCCAAATGGCAAATGAAAATGAAATCGAAGCGAATGATAAATTGGATTGAATTAAATTAGCTCGCCACGAGCTGCTGTCCCCTTCCAAATCCAGGTCCATTTCTGAACTTACCCTCCATGGGCGAGTGTTCCATTACTGGCGATAAAACTCCAAGCCGCCAAAAGCTAACCTATGCTACTATTGGCCATTAAGTGCAAAGTCAGATGATTACCGCTACATAAACATTAGTGTGTTGATCCATCGGCAGAAACCACTTGGAATGGGTTTAGGTGCTTCATGATACCCTTGCTCAGGCTGCTATATTTGGATCACTGGTTTGCGGAACAGCGATGATATTTTAAGATTAAGATTAAAATAACTAGTGTATAAAATTATGAATTTTTTAGAAGTGCGAATGTGTTAAGATGAATATCATAGACCCCACCTTAAAAACCTCGCTATCGAAGAGTGAAGATACAAGCCAATCAAGTCGTTGAGTTACCCAAACTCTACAGAATTAAGCAACATATTTAATTTTAAATGACAATACATGCTTGTTTGTGCTTTATTTGAAAAATATCTAAAACTATAGTCCCTTACACGTGAGCTTAGTTGTTCTTGTAGAAGAAAACACCAAATAATATACCGCATAGCTCTCACAGAAGTGAATAATCCTTAGCCCAGATCAAGCCACAAGTCCGATTAATCAAAAGGAAAATAGTTTCCGGTATTATTTATATATCGCGGGAAGTACCGATTAAGATGAAAAAATGCCATGCAGATAATTAAATTAAGCTAAGCTTAATGCCGATGATTTCTAGGTAAACTCAACTAAACCTGGCAAGAGTATTTCGCATTGCGGTGCTCAAATCCAGATCTCCTTTCTATTTTTTTGTCGGCAACTGGGCTGAATTTTATTCAATTCGATTGGTATGCTGCTGCCGAAAAAAAACCCACAAACTTATTAAGTTTGATATTTAGTTTGGAGCAACTTTTGGAGTTCAGAGCCAGATTAGAGACGTCAGCAGTGGCGACGCCAACGCCAAAGTCGGCGTTGCCGTTGGTTGCCTATAAAAGCCACCGCTTGCGAAGATCACCCAACCAGTGTGGATTATACCAGCCCAGAAACCAGCAAGATGTTCAAGCTAGTGAGTAGACTTAGCCGCCGTGAAGGATAAAGATACAAATCCAGAACGTGACCGTGTGTAACCATTTCAGTCGCTCTGCCTGCTCGCCGCCTTGATGCTGGCCAATGTCTATGCGGATAACATTAACAAGGATGCCGTGATTACCCGCGAGGAAGCTAGTCCTGCCGATGCCGAGGGCAACTACCAGTACGCCTTCGAGACCAGTAATGGCATCCAGGCGCAGGAGGCCGGAAACGTCAATGGAATTCGCGGAAGCAGCTCTTACATCTCCCCCGAAGGCATTCCCATCTCACTGACCTACGTTGCCGATGAGAACGGCTTCCAGCCCCAGGGTGATCACCTTCCCACCGCTCCCCCAATTCCAGAAGCCATCCTCCGCGCCCTGGAATACATCTCCACCCACTACCGGCCGCAGTAAATACCCGATCGGAACCCCATTTAAAGCCTAGTCAGTGCTTTTGCTAAATATGAGTTATATCTAGTTCTAGAAAGTCTGTACATAAATCCCCCAAAAAAACATAAAAAGTTACTTCAAATATACCCACAGCCATGCTGATCATTTGAACAGAGTAAAGTATGTTATATTTTCCATTATACAAATCGGCCAAAGTTGGCTGTACCAAATAGCAAACATTAAAGTCTCGCCGTTTTTTTTGAATCCATAATTTTTAAGACCAAGTTGCATAAAAATTATATTATAATATCGTATTTGCTTTTTGAACGTCATACTTTAGATTTGAAAGTGCTTTTTTTTGGTAATTTATTTTAAAATGCAAATGAAGGAATTTAAAATCGATGTCAGATTGGGTTAGAATACTTTGTTTTAACCAGATTTTTTATAACCTTTTAAAGTACGCCCCCCATATCGGTACATTCATCAATCTTCAATCTGAGCCAGGAACGTTAGCACATGCTGTTTTCAAATGTTTTTCATAATTAAATCAATACTCTTGTGTTATAAATGTGTTACCATATTAAGACAAACTAAGCGACTGTCCAAGATCATTTATCACACTGCAAACTAGACCCAGGAACTAACCAAGGCAAAAGAAAAAATTCAGCAGAAGCAACGCCAGACGAACATGAGCGCAGACAAATGTGGAAGCTGCATGGCCATCCACTTACTTGGCTTCTTTTCCCTGTTGCCTCGTTGAGTTATTTTTGAAAATATACATCTAGTAAACAATCGTTTCCATGTAAATCCAACCGAGAATGACCTCCAGAGTGGACACCGACAACTGAAAACGATCATGTTGCCAAGAAAGAGTCTAGAAAATGATGCAACAGCCGGCTGGGATTTGGGAAACTGGTTTGCGGGTTATTAACACTTTCGCTCTTTGGATTCTACTCGTGAAGAATATGTAGGTCATCTGCCAGCGATCTGAAGACAAGTTACTTTTGTAAATGGGCACTACAAAAAATATATAGGCCCAATTATATGGGAATATTTACAATGAACGCACAGACGCTGCTTACTGAATATTAGGTAGAAACATTATATTATATTCGTATTATTTAAAGGGCTTTCTGTTATAATTATGTCAACTAAGAAATTAATAGATAAAGGTTTTTGAATAAAAAATATTTATATTTCATATTGTAAGCTCTTCATTATAATACCCATTTAAAAAGCAAAAATTATTGATGTCGGAGAGTTACAAAATAATAAAGTTTTGAAATCTACACTATGGGCGCTTTACAAAAGGGTAAGCTTCCACATAACCAGTTTCCTGGTATCCTTCACGACTTCCCCATTAATCGGACTCGAAAAACCTCTCGGCTTATGTACATTATATATTTATAGCAAAGTCGAGTCTTCTGCCGCGATCACATAGCATAAACAATTAAGTATAAAAACCTGTTCAATCTGTACAACAATAAATAAGCTCTATTTACCACTGTATTGGCCTAAAGCTTGCTCTCCTTCGCCTCCTTGGCCTTCTGTCGGGATGCAGCCGCTGCCGCCGGTCCGAAGCGCTGGATAAAGTTGTTGACCGGCGTAATAATGGCCTCTGGATCGTTCATGTGCACATGGTGCGAGCCATTAACCTCCAGGTACTCAAAGTTTGGCTTCTTTAACAGCACATCCAGCACTTCGTCGTAATACTTCTTTTCCTCGAAATACGAGGACTGGGCGGCCTTGATGAACAAGTAAGGACATGTGATCCGATTGGCCATTTCCACACACAGCTCCTGGGACCCAATGGCGTAATTGTAAAACTTGAGACGCCGATCGCGGCAGAAGAAGTACTTATCCGGGTACTTCTCCGACTTGCCAATGTTGCGAGCCATTAAATGCTTGCAGTGCTCCTTGTTCACCGAATGGAAGGTGCCGATATAGACCCTCTCAATAAGTTCATCGTAGGTGTAGCTCGGCGGCTCGTTCTTACTCCGGTTCCTTTCGTCTTCGCGCAAGAACTCATCCAAACGGGTTTCCATGGTCCTAATGACCGACGGATACGGACGTTGATGAGGTTTTAGGGCATCAATCCCAACAATCATGTCCACCTTGTCCGGGAAGACTGCGGCGAAAACAAAGCAAATAATGGCCGACATTGAGTGTCCTATCAGGGACACCTTCTCCCACTTGTACTGCTTCATGATCAGGCGGATCACATACAAATTATCCACGGAGTTGTAGTAACAGCCATCAGGCAATCTGGATGATAGCCCGTGGCCAGGAAGATCGATCGAGAGGAAAGCCACGTCCGGCGACAATAGTGGCATTAGGCGATCATACGTTCCCGCATTATCCTGCCACCCGTGGAGTCCCAAAATCGGTTGGACATTCTGCGGACCGTACCACTTTCCGGATATGTGTCCCCATGGAACCGTAATGCTGATCTCGGCGAACTAAGGGACAAAGGTTTTTAAAAAATACAAAAAACGAATCAATATCTGTATCGCTTTATCACTGTTTAAGTTGCATATTGTTTTATTTTTAGAAACGTCGATCCTAAGAGATATTTACGGAGTCATCAACCATTTCCACAATACAGATGCATATACAAAACTACAGAATCTGGATGACACCTGCATATAGGCAACATTCAGTTTGAGGAATATTTAAGAGTTCAGTCAGATACATACATATGTACATACGGAGCTTTATCAACGTTGATAAAGAATATATCTGTACGTATTTTTTAGAATACTGCCCGGGAAAACAGTATTTAAACCCTGGAAGTCTACGAAAATGCAGCGAAGTGGTTCAAAGTACACTTACCGGTCTGGTTGGGGCTTCGCCAGTTAAGTCGCCTGCATGCCGATATCGCTGGCCAAGATCACTGCCTGTAATGCTTCCGCCATTTGAATTGTCTTCCGAGTCCATTTCTGCGCTCTAAAGTGCCCAAAAAGCAAATGAGCTCCAATTCCAAAGTTTAGCCGATTTCGGCGCTTATCAGTAACGACCTGTGGAGATTAGCAGGGCGATTAGTTATCGCAAGCAGGCGGGGAAACATTCATAGAAAATGCTAAAGTAAACATTAAAAAGAAATCAGAAAAAATATCCGAATCGATGCCGGCGCCTCATTAGAGTCAAAGGTCAAGGTGATCGCCTTAGTGAATCATAACTCACGTTGTCACGTTGGGTCACAGATTTAATTGCAGGGTTTTTATATGTCCGTGCTCCTTCCTAGTTTATACAGCATTTATTTCATTGGACTAATTTAATTACCAATTATGCGCCCTACAAACAGGTGAAAACCGCGAGCGAACGAAAAATAAACACTAACTACAGCTGTTCACTAGACTTGCCCATTGGTGGCAACGTTTATGCGGCAGACATAGCACGAAGCTTACATATTATTTCTAATAGTTAAACTAATTTTAACTAGTGCATGGTGGAAGGAAATTAGACTAATATCATCAGCATTTGCTGACATATGTGATAACAATTTAATACTTACAATTAGCTTATGTATTTCATCTAAGTTCTCGAATTTTCTTCATATAAACGAAGATTTAGTGTTGTAAAACATACCAAACTGTTGGACTAGTGTTGTCCGTTGACAGCAGCCGCCAGCGAATGACAAGATTAAAAACCTTGCTGAAACATAGTTTTCTCAAATATTACGTATCAAGATCAAAGTTCACCTGGCATCGCCGCCAACCATCCATATGTGGTGAAATCAAAGACAGAACATCAGTATCATTATACTGATCGAGGAAGAAGAACGTGTTATTACTCAGAGGAAGTAGGAAATTACCTTACCTTGAAATGAAGGTGTCCAGAGGTCTCCGCATGCTAAAATTGCTGCCAAATGTCAGAAGCTCCAGCAGTGGACCCACAAAACCTTTCAAAATCCTCAACAAACATGTGGGTAGTAGAATCGTTTTGGTTTTCATTTAATAATAACCTTGGATTTCTCTTCGCAGTTCGATGAAATCAGCATACCAGTTCCATGGGGACACATATCGGGCAAATGGTATGGACCCAAGCACGTACGACCGATTGTTGGCATGCATGGTTGGCAGGATAATGCCGGCACCTTCGATACCTTAGCTCCTCTCCTGCCGTCCCACCTCTCCTTCTTAAGTATCGATGCTCCGGGCCATGGGTTGTCCTCCTGGCTGCCACCTGGCACTTCCTACCACTCCATCGACCTCGTGCTGGTCATTCGCCGGCTAATGGAAGAGTACAACTGGGACAAGATCTCCATAATGGCCCACTCGATGAGCTCCATCAATGGGTTTGTCTTCAGTGCTCTGTTTCCCGACAAAGTTGATCTGTTCGTGGGTCTGGATGTGCTGAAGCCTCCAGTTCGAAGTGCTCGGAGCATTGTGGATTCGCTGTCCGAACGAATTGAGTCCACCCTGAAGCTGGAACGACGTCTTAAGAGTGGTTCTGAGCCGCCCGCCTATGACTGGGATCAATTGGTAACCCGGCTGCACGAGGGTTCCAATAAGTCCGTCTCACTGGAGGCCTGCAAGTATCTGCTGCAGCGGAACTGCAAACCATCAACCCACGAGCCGCACAAGTATTACTTCTCCCGCGACAACCGACTGAAGTCATCGCTATTTTACACTTTGCACCAGGAGGTGCCAATGGAGATGGCGCGCAGAATTAAGTGCCCGCATCTGTTTATCAAGGCCCTGCAAGCTCCCTACTACGAACGCAAGGAGTACTTCGATGAAGTGTTAGCGGAACTGCAGAAGAATCCTCTGTTTGAATTCCACGAGGTTGAAGGGACGCACCATGTCCATCTTAACGAGCCAGAGAAGGTGGCGTCCATCATCAATTCCTTCATCAATAGGTACCGGCCCTTATGAGACCGACTTTACATGGACCTCGGCGTAGAGACCAGTGTACAAACTAGCGGATTGGTATACCTTACTCTTAATGATTAATTTCACACGACGCAGATGATATTGACTAGATATTAGATGAAAATTAATCTCAGTAGTACGAGAAGACAATACCCAGCAATGGAAATTTGGTTGTTTCTATTTAATTTATTATTTACAATCGATACCGGCAATAACATTAAAGTTAAACACTATATTAAAAACTTCAAAATATACGCTTTGAGTTGCTTATTTGTGTGGAATTTACGCCGTAACTAAAACTGGCCAATAAAAAGCTAAGACAAATGAAAACACGCTCGGAAACCATGAGGAATAGATAAGAGTTTGTAAATTCCCCGCAATTCCCACGGAGTTTTCTTTTGCAAAGCGTGAAAAAATAGTGTAATAATCATAGGGTTTAAGTAATAAGTCTATGGGCTCGATTTGGAATTATCTGTGCACTGCACCGCTCTGAACCCATAAAGTCAGCACTTGAGCCTTGAATGACTGTTAATAGAACAAGTTAAAATAAATATTACGTAGAGGTTGTGGTTAGCTAAATTCTAAAAATATTTTTAAATCTACATATGTATATAAGTTTTTGGGGCTCTCTTTTGTAAAATCAGTCGGCGCGAGGAAATATAATATTAAACAATTACAACATTGGGATAGCCAACTTGGCAACCGTGGTGACTACTCGAATATATGCATCTTCTATTGTATATATTTGTAAGCGTAATCAACAATTGCTTCTGTTTCGCATGGAGTTTTCTTAGCATTTGAGTGTCTTGTGTTGTTCTCAATCAGATTCAAAGTGTTATAAAAAATATACAATATGTGGTAAATAAACATATGTAGCATGTACATACCTACTTATCTACGATGCTGGTTTTACAATCTATTGCATTGGCAAGTTAAGCAGTCGCATCAATTCGCCCATTCACTAAATGACAGCCAGATCTTAAAGTGCGATTTGCAGAAAAAAGAATAGAAGTTTAAATTTAAATAGGAAAATATTCAATTATTTGAAAGCTGATAAACGAATTATCGAAGTTGTATGTGTATATATAAAGGCATTTAGTAAATGTTCGACTTGCGCGTGCTCGAACTACTCTTGCACATTAAACATTGTAATAAAACAACAAACTAAAACCTACGCTAAAAATAAATACAATAAATAAATTAGGTCCTAAAGAGAAAATGCTTAGCAACATTTAGTGTGGATTTCTCTGGATAATTCCCCTCTCAACTTTCCCGCATTTTGGTTTGTCTATTTACAATTGTATCAGTTTTCCGTTTCGTTTTCCCGACATTTGTTTGGGTCGAAGCTCAAGCTACTGGCGACGAATCACCCTTCATGTCGCGCTCCCGAAAAAAACCCCGCTCCGTTTTGCACTCTCGTATGGTGACGGTCTCTAGGTTTACGGTGACATCTGTGATCACCACCCGGTTGGATATGTTGCATTTGGCCGGCAGCCAGAAGCGCGGCGGCAGGGCACGCGGCGAAAGAGGAGTAAGCGGCTGTTTCTGGTTGATGGCCAGGTTGTTGCACGGTTTTGGTATGTTATTGTTCTCGGAAGGAACCTGTGGCGCCTGTTGGTTGCCTTCCTCGTTTGCTACTTCTTCTTCCTCGGCTCCAGATTCTGCGGGCGTTGTGTTTATGGCTTCTGTGGCCAATGGGGTGGCCTGCAGCTCAGATTTCAGTGGCGTTGCTGCCTCGCTGGCAATCTTTTCCGCTTGCTGCTGATCCTGGAAGGGCTGCTGCTGGATGGGATTTAGCTGCTGGCTGGCCTGAGGCTTAATTGTGGGGCCATCTGGCGAGGTCTTAATCGTCACTCCAATCTTGCCTGATTCCTTGAGCACCTCGGCTTTGCGTTTGGTGCCAATCAGTGGCTGATCCTCGGAACTGGAGGAATTGCTGTCCGGCTCGGGGACAAATGAGTTGTGCGTAAAGCTGCTGTTCGAGGAGGAGCTGTGATCCATGCGCTGACGCTTGGACTCGTGGTGGTGGTGATGATGGTGGTGGGTCAGCGGAGATTCCGAGCGCCGTCCACTGTTGCGTTCGGACTTGATGTGGTGGTGATGATGGTGGTGATGGTGCTTCTTCTCCTTTTTCGACTCCTTATCGTGGGTAGCCGTTGAGGTGGTGGCTTGATGGGTGTCCACATCGTCTCCGGTGAACGTGTACTCATCCTCCTCGGATTCCGGCTCCGGATCGGGTTCCTTTTCCTTTTTCTTTATGCCTCGCTTGGAGGGAGTTCCGGAGGATTTGTTCGTTTGTTCGTAGATATCAATGAGGCGGCGGTCCAGGATGTTTACCTCCGGTTCCCAGGTGTTGTAGCGCTGGTTCCAGCCCTTCCACTTTACGCGGTACTCCACGACACCCTGGAAAATCGAATAAGGGAAGGAGTGTGGGTGGATTGCATTTTCTTAGACAACTAATTGATTTTCCACCCAGCGAAACAAAAACGCGCCTCACATACACACACACGCACTACGCACACACACACACACACACACACATGCAGCGTGCAAATGGTGGTTGCAGCAGCAGATGTCCTCTGCCCAAAAAATGTCGAAGGACATGTGACCTTGTGGACTATACATGTATCCTGCGTGTGCTGCGCATATTGCGTTTGGCATTTTCAGCGGAGCATCTCGTTTTGGTCGCCTTTTTCGCATTTGTTTACGCTCAGCTCACCTTCTTAACGCGCTTTTGGATGATTTTCTCAGCCGCGTACACTAAATCGACTTGATCGTCGGTCGCGTTGTCGCGCCCCAACTTCCCCTTACCCCCCTTGCCACGACCAGTCATTTTTAATTAATAATCTTCGCGGAGCGTTTTATTATTCGTATTATTTGCAATTAACTTCTGGTTTACAATTCTGCGTACGTCGATAGTCGTCGGACTCGATTATTTTTATTTCAACAATCGATAGTGTTGGTCGCGCAGAGTGACCGTGCCATACCGAATTAGGTTGATATCTTAACATGCAGCTGTGTCACGAACCCTTATTAAGAAAAATACTAAAAAACTCTGATAATTATGCGTTTTTAAATTTTAAATATTATGTATAATTATAGTATGAATTTTTTTGGCATTTTGTATTTATTTACGTGCGAATTATGATGATGTTGTGTATTGGCGCCTTGTAAATTTCTATTGATTTGTCAAAAACTTTTTGAGCACGCCCACTCTAACGCCCACAAACCGCAAAATACTGCAGCGCTCACACTTTTCTATCGAAACTTCAAAAACATTTTGGCCACGCCTACAATAACAGCCACAAACTGCCAAGGGTGCAAAGCACACACTTTTTAAAAAGTTATAAATTTTTTATTGATTTGGTCGTATGTCTGGCAATTTCTAAGGATATGCCGAAATACACATGGTAGACTTTATCTTTGCGGTAAACTTGCGGTATACTTATATATTTAAGTAACATCTATAGAAACACCAAAAACTATTCCGAATAACTCCACTACTTTAGAAGATTGCAATAAATGGTCAATAAATCACAGATGATACGACTTCCTGTCATGCGATAACATTTTTAAAGCTGAATGTTTCAAAAAGAGTGAAAGGTAAACATGCGTCTCATTAATTGGTAGACCTAAAAGGCCTCTCAAAACCATTCTCAATTGGGCAGACCTGAACGGCCTCTCCAACTCTTCTCACTTTGATAGACCTGAACGGCCTCTCAAACAATTCTCACCTTGGCAGACCTAAACGAACTCTAAAACCATTCTCATTTTGGAAGAGCTAAAAGGCCTCTCAAACAATTCTCACCTTGGTAGACCTAAACGACCTCTCCTACCATTCTTATTTTGGTAGAACTCAAAGGCCTCTAAACCGCTCTCACCTTGGTAGACCTGAAAGGGCCTCACAAACCATTCTCACCTGGTTAGACCTAAAACGCCTCTCAACCTTTCCCCACTAACTGGTAGACCTGAAATCTGTCCCGTTCTCAGACATTGGGAAACTCACCACCGTAAGTCCAGAAGATCTACCACTTTGGGATTCGCTAGCGCAATCATTCAGTTGCTTTCGGAATCGGAGGATCCACTCTTCATTACATGTTCGCTCCCCTTGTAAATTTGTTAAATGGGTCCTGATTTGTTAAATGTCCTTCTTTCAAGAATTATTGATCTAAAAATGCTTATAACCCATACAGTGCTATATTTGGATCGTATCTGTGCATACGACTTGATTGAACTCACAGAGTTAATGCGACAGTGAGATGAACAACCGTTTGCAATTGCACTTAATAGAAAGGCATCCAGCCAAATGACTTCTGATGATGAAAGCCTGCTTAGATCTCGGATTTCCGATCCCCACTGCTCAATATTACTCGGAAGCTATAGACTCAGATAAGTCCGGTCAAATAAGCTTAGAGCAGAGAAACAGATGTGTTGAACAAGCTACTGCCTTAAAAACATTTGAAAAACAAGACTAAAAACGACTTCCAAATATATTCATAAAAGTCAAGGAGCTGCGTACAGTAAAGTGGTGGCTCACAGCAACTCCAGCATGCAGAGAGCTGCGCTGTACGAGTATGCAGCCTACATTTTCCTTTGCTCTACTTCTATTATCGTATCACAAACTGACACATATACTTTGCCCCATATTCCGATTCAATTAGGTTTGATAATTAACTTGATAGCAAGTGAACTAGTTACCCTCTTCGAACTCCTCAAATGGCAAATCCATAAGGGGAGAGAGATTGCGAGAGAGCGAAAGCACGAGAGCGCCAAAAGCTCAGGAAGGATGTGAAAGGAAGTGGCCGACTGCAGATATTTTATGCCAGTTGTATGTTGGCCGAGGGTTCGCGTGGCGGGGGCGGCAACGACGATGACATTATTTTATTTATGCTGTGATAGTGAAATAACAACAACACCAAGACCAACAACTGAAATAACACCCATTCCATTAAAATCAATCGCAATATTTTCGATGAGGGACGCGGAACGCATGGAGAGTCTTCACATTTAACGATGAAAAGAGAAATTAATCAAAAGCTTTAACCAAAACATAAAGAAAAACACCAAGCAAATCGTTGCAAATCGTATAAATAAATTAATATTTAATTCATAGTGAAAACAGCACCAATTAGAGCATAACCTATAAAATATTAGTCAATATGTTTAGCTAGCTACAATTTACATAGATAAAATACTAATTAGTGGCTTTAAACAAAACACCAAGCAACCAAACAACAAAGGGGAAAAACCAATACCTAGTTCAATTGTACGGAACGGAAATCTAACGAATAGCGATTAGGAAAACTGGCCAACTGATAAGGCTGGCGAAAATATTAAGCTTGTAGCATATAGGAAATAATAATAGCAACGGCAACCCACCCCATCCCCCAACCGAAAGCCTCGAAAAGCGGATTCATTCAGTAAAACGTGCCACACAACCGGACGGCAGCGACGTCGACGGCGACAGCGACGGACAACGGTAAATGTCAAAGTCATAAAGAGAAAGCACGGAAACGCCGATGAGAGAAAGCTCAAGGAAAACGTCAAAACTGTGAGAGGTGATAAAAGCTAGTCAGTTCTTTTGGGAGAAGAAATGCCGAGTGTCAAAACCGCAGAGAAAGTAACGAAAGAGAGAAACAGCTAAACAAGGAAAACCTTCGGTTATTTTGGTAACCAGTGGATTAAACGAAACGGCCATAAATGAACGCAAACAGGATAGTGGAATGCTAACACAAGTATCCGTTATCCTTTGCTTGAATTCGAAACAGAGTTCCGAAAAAGAAAAGAGAAGGAAACGCCGCAAAAGAGGTCATCCAAATCGTCAGAAGAGAGCTCCCTGATAATTTGACACAATTCAAAGCTAAATCAATGAGAAAGCCTTAAGTGAAAGCTCAGGATAATAGCTTCAGCGCAGCTTTTAGCCAAGACACAATCCAATCAAATCGAATCCAATGGCCAGCACAGCGGTGGCAACGGGAGGCGGTGAAGGTGGTCCAGGGGCAGGAGGAACGCCGGCGGGATCAGCGCATCCCGACGACGCGAGCAGCATGAGCGACGATGTCTTCGAGGATGCGAAGACCACCCAGGCGAGGATCGAGGAGTTGCGTCGCCGGCCCTTCGGCGATGGCTGTTACAATCCCCCCGCAGCGCCGGCCTCTGTCTCCGCCTCGATAACAACGACAACGACACAGCTGCAACACCATCACAATCCTTCGCACCACCACCAACCCTCCCACCACCAACCATCCAACCACCATCAACACCACCACCACCACCACCACAGCCAGCAGAGCTTGACAGGAAGCCATCACTACCACGACGATGCCATCATGGCGCCCGTCCAGCGTTCTGCCACCGGATATCCTGGCTATCGTCCCTCCCGCGAGGCAATGCAGATGTATGCGTACGGAACGGATGACTATGACGATGACTATAACGATGGATGGCGATCGTATCGCTACGATGAAGTGGACATGCACCCAGCCCCGTCCACCGCCTATCAGCAGCCCTTCGATGATACGGTCAACCACAAGACGATCCTGCTGGGGGATTCGGGCGTGGGAAAGACCTCATTCCTGGTCAAATACAATACGGGCGAGTTCCGACTGGGTTCCTTTTCCGCCACAGTGGGCATCGCGCTGACGGTGAGTTTTGAATATTGCAGTACCACAATTTGTATGTGGAAACTACTCTAAGCCCATCCCCTGTAACTCGAGCCAAGGATTACAATTTGTACTATTTTCTTGGTAAAACCACAACATTTACTCTGTAAAGTGCATTGTGCCCAGTAAAAGTACACTATGTACCTCGTATTGCTGGTGGCCTAACCCATGAACTTAGAAATGATGTGCAACCTTAAATACAGAATGTAGTTCTCACATGTTGACAGATGTTGGTTCGAGTTGCAGAGTTGCTGAACACGCTTAGCTTAAACTTGCGATTGGGGCGAATCCGTAGCGCTGCCTGCTGCATGAAACCCGCACAGTAGCCTGACCCCGCCCCTTAGCCAGCCGCCCTGACCCCCGCCCATGTACTGACGCACATTCGAATGGGCTCGCTATGTATTAAGAGTATGTCTGTGTGCATTGGCCTGCTGTGTGTACCTAATTGGGGAACAGCTGCCTAGCTGCCCAGCTGCTTTTGGTAGTACAAGTCCTTGCCTTCGGGGCACTGGAGGATATCGCATAACAGAGTGTCTTTTTTAACTTTCCCTGAATGGCTTTATTTTATTATTATTATTTTAGTATTGCCATGTACATATATTTATTTATAGGTGGCAGTAGAGAGACAAGTAACAAATAATTTCAAAATGACAAGGACAAATGTGAAACCTTTCTCGCAGTGCGCTTTTTACTCCGCTAAATAGGCAACATATTGTTCGGGTAATCGCCGGAGATTTTCTATTTTTGGCGGGCATGCTGAAATCCCCCAAATTGATTTTTTCCCGCACGGTAAATATAAATCGCTGCGTTCGACCTTTTCCACGTTGTTGTGCTGACATTGATGGCTGCCTGTGTGTGGCTGTGTGTGCAGCGCTCTCTCACACACTCGCGCGACCTGTTGCTGTTGCCTTTCACTTTCACTCACCACAGTCAGCACCACACACAGATACACACTCACTCACGCTGACGCCCACACACAGGCGCAAGCACTCACACAGACACAGATACAGACACAGACACAGACAGACAGCCACCGCAATGGCCGCCAGTGAAGTTCAAGTGCAACGCTTTTCAGTTGCCTTGGATGCTGCTGCTGCTGATTTTCCTCCTGCTAAGCCGCTTTTCCCAGGCACAAGCCTTTCTCCATCAGGGTGGGCCACTGGTTCAGAAACTACTTAAACGTATTAAATGTTTTAGGCATCGGAACATTATATACATAATGATGTAATGATATATATCAATAAGTATCAATAGATAATAAATATTAGTTTATTATTATTTATTATTTTGTATTATATTTATTTACTATTA